TGAATTAACATGATGCATTAAAACATTTGCTCAGTTTTGCAAAGAGTTCAGAGTTTGACTGCAAACCAAAGAGGTGGAGGTGACCCAGAGGTACCTTGGAAGAAAGGCCTGGTGATTCACTTCAGAAAAATCACCATTGAAACCTCTGCGGAGTGTGGGTCTACTCACGGGGTCAGCAGGGCAGGTTATGAGACCCCAGAGCGCTGTGCCTTCTAGAGTTCTCTCATACACTGTGCTGCTAAGTGACAGCACCCACACATACACACCCCCTCTCTGGCTCCCTCCTCTGTGTGTGAGTCCTTGTCTTCCCCCACTCCCCATTCTGGGTAGCCCCCGCCTAGCCGCTTGTCTTCACGCTATGAGGAACTGACTGCTCATATGCAGAACCTGCCACATGCGCCTCCCAAAGCACATGGAGAGCTACTGCCACACACTGGTCACAATCCACAAATCCCTCAAACACACCCCACAGAGAATTAGGAACTGTATTCAGTTCATTTAATGAAAAAGCATTCAGTCAGCAATAGGGAAGTACTACTGATAGTAATGAACATGCTTCATGCTATGACATGATATATGGCAATATTTACATGGCACATGCCACAAAACATTACATGAAATGTGCTGCAGTGTGCTGTACAGCACAGCTTCATGCTATTGTTGTTGTTGATAAGTGCCATCGAGTCGTAGGCGACTCATAGCGATCCTCTGAACGAAAGTCCTCGATAGTTGTGTGTCTTTCATCCTTTCTCCATGTTCGTAGGGTTTCCCCAGGCAAGCTATTTAGGGAAGTGGATGCCACTCCTCCTTCCATGCTTGTTTTAGCCGAGGAGCGCCACCAAACACTGTCCACCACGGGTAATCATTATCGCATTTGACACATCAGTGTCACAGTGTTCAGCTTCACAGCAACCACGAGTTGTCTCTGTACAGCAAGTGGACACACCATGGCTATACGACCTAGAAGAATGTGTCACCAAAAACAAAGACAGACCATAGGGCCATGGATTAGAGTCACCCACCTGTGGCTTGGTAGCATCGCTTTCAGTCCAACAGGTCTCTCTCTATGTTGTTAAGTGCTGTAACACAGCATTTGGCATATCAACATTCTGATAACACATGGCATGAAACATGTAAAAAGAGGACACATGTTGCAACAAGATTATGTGGCATGCATTACAATGTGGCACACGCCACAACATGGAACACGCTACAACTTTCTGTGTGTCACGTGCTACAACATGCTTCACAATACACACAATACATTATATCACAACATTCTGCATGACAATTTATAGCACATTGCATGAAACATGTTACATATCACATGCTACATGACACATGCTGCATGCTGTGAAGCAATGTTTGACACAACCCATGTCATAACACTATAGGCTATGTGCTACCACATGCTACTTGATACATGCTGGCAGTCTCATCTTCATATCCAATCAGCAAGCCTGTGCACAGAGCCCTTCTCCAGAGGTCACCAAGATCAGGAAGCATTTCAGATATGTCCTTCTGGCATCTTAACAAAATTCTGTTTGGACTATTAGGGATGGAAGTGGGGACCTCCAGTGTCACTCCTAACCCAAGCAGGAGAGTCATTCCCCAATAATCAAGACCATCAATGACTTCCTTGTGCTTCTTCATGAATTTACCAATTGCTCTATGGGAGAAAGATGGGCAATCTCTTCCCGCATGATTTAAAGCCTCTGTAGAACCACTGGAGGTTCAGTTATGAGTTGGTTCTGACTCCACACAGCACACAACAACAATTCAGGTTCTGACTCCACACAGCAAACAACAATTCACTCATCCACAGAGAACTTGTCCCCAAGTGGACAAGTCAGATTTCACCTTGAACAACAACCAAAGATGCGGTGGAAGCCATGACAGTGTTCACCACAGGTGGGTAAATAAACTCAGACACAGATGAGCAACCCAGGTAAGCATGTGCTTGCATTACTGACAGGACTTTGTTCCCTCCCAATGAGGGACTGTCAGTTTGAAAAGTGGCTTTGATTTTCTAGCAGAGGTCGGTGGGGTCAGGAGAGAGACAGGCCAACTAGAACTAGAAAAATTATTAGTATTCGCTTATGCAGATGACACAACCCAGCTTGCTGAAACTGAGGAGGACCTGAAGCGCTTGCTGCAGAAGGTCAAGGACTGCAGCCTTCAATATGGATTGAAGCTCAGTATCAAAGTAAACAAAGATTCTCACTACTGGGCCAATTGGCAGCATGTGATGGATGGTGAAGAGATTGAGATTGTAAACAGCTTTAGTTTGCTTGGCTCCACAATCAACACTCTTGGCACCAGCAGCCAGAAGATTAAAGGATGTATTGTGTTGGGAAAGTCTGCTGACAGAGACCTTGCCAAAGTACTAAAGAGCAATGATGTCAGCCTGGAGACTAAGGAGTGCCAAATTAGGCCATGATCTTTGTAATCACTTGCTATGCATCAGAGAGCTAGACAATGACTGGGGATGATAAAAAAATTGTTGCCTTTGAGCTGTGGTGTTGGAGAAGAGTGTTGAATATACCATGGACTGCTAAGAGAATGAGCAAGTTCGTCCTGGAGAGGATGAAACCAGGCTACTCCTCGGAGGCAAGGATTCTGAAGCTTCGTAGGAAGTAATTTGGACATGTTGCAAGGAGGGACTAATCCTTGGAGAGGGACCTCATGCTGGGGAGTGTGAAGGAACAAGGGGCAAGAGAGGAAGACCCTCGATGAGATGGGTTGGTTCCGTGACTGACTGGGGTAATAGGAGTAAGCGTGTCAGAAACAGTAAGATTGGCACAGGATAAAGCAGGGCTGTTGTACATAGCACTATGAGTCACGGGTGACTCGAAGGCACATAACAACAACAGCAACAACAACAACAGAGTGATAAGCGAGCACAAGTAAGTCCTTGTTTTACCTGTTATACTGAGTACTCCGACACCTGCCTCTGAGCTCCAGCAAGACCAAGGATTCTCTGAGGGGTGGGAGAAGGGTTTTGCCCTGGAACAGGCTGGGGGTGCGATAGGAGGAAACCTCTGACCTCGTTCCCTTTCTAGCCTTGTCTGGATGGATCCAAGAGCTGAGGGTATGTCCCCCATCCAGGATTGGGAAAGTCCTTGTGCCCCCACATCATGTCTGGAAGGAAAAATGGGAAAGAAAGGGTATGAGCAGAGCCGAATCCAGGGACGTGCAGTGCGTGGACACAACCCTGGGGCTCAGGACGCTTGTAGCAAACAGAACTTCCGGGTTCCAGAGACTTTGGGCTGGACTCTTGGAACCTCGAGACACGCGGCGCAGAGACACCTGGCTTCCCAGATCCCCAGGCTCCCCGAGGCGTGGAGAACATGCACTCTCCGGCTGCTTCTAGGACGCAGAGCACAGAGCTGGGGGGATGCAAGTTGGATCCCAAGTCACCCCTCCACCCCGAACCCAACTAACACCTACGAGCTCCACCGGAGAGGGCTTCGAGTGAAGCCAAGGGCCCCGCCCCGTGACATACGAATCCGCAGCCAACCAGGGAGCGCAGTGGCCCATCAACCAATCCGGAGCATCTCGGTGCACTTGCGCTTGGAGTCGCGCTGGAGGTGTTCCCAGAGCTTGGGTGTCCCAAGCAGCCCGAAGGCTGGGGTCTCAGACTAGGCTTCCTATCTGGCGGGTACAGTGTAGGTGGCTGCACACTGTAGGGGCGCGGGGATGACTCAGAGGCGACCCTTTTGAGCCCCTGGAGGGAGTAAGGTGTGGACAGTACATGATCCCTCGCTTCTGGGGATGCGAACTGGGCGGCTCAGCTGGTCCCCTCAGTGAAGGTTTTTGTCCCAAAGTCTTAATTCTTTTCCCGTTGAATTATGACTTTTTCCGGTGCTGCCTCATGGGACAACGAGGCGGGGTCAGAGCCTCACCCTTGGTAACCGTCCACCTTGTGCTTTTCTGATGCCCGTTCTGCGTTTCTGACTCGGCTCCTGCGCTCGGCCCAGAAGCTTCGCTCACCTAGACAGGGCCTGGGCCCAGGACAGGGTGCACTTCTCACCCTTCCGAACCTCCACACCCCTGCTCGAGGGAATGAGATACTAAATAGCAAAATAAAAAGCGTGAGGAGAGAGGGACCCCAAACAAAGGAGGCTGCTGTCTCCTACTTCATTTGTCTTAAATGCCCAATTTGTGTCTCTGGTCTCTCCAGGGACAAGCTTCAGGCCCCCTTTTAAGATCTGACCCCTGTCAACTCTGGTCTTCTCACCCCTGCGCCAACCAGGCCCGTCCACGCATGGGAGCATCCCTAGTGCACACAGACAAGATCGTCCCGTAGCGTCCCTGGACTGAAGGAGCAGACAGACTGAAGGAGCAGATGGTTTATTGTTTGCAGGTGATTGTGACATCTTCCCATCCAGCAGTCCCCAGGGATCCCACCACTGTGTCCTGTCACCCCCAACTCTTTATCTGGAGTGGCTACTTAACAAACATCCACTTTCCTTAACAAGGAAAAAAATAAAAATACCTCTTTTATTTTTTTTAAATCATTGACAACTTTATTATGCAGATTTCTCTCCCCCCCCACTTTCCTTCATTGAAATTGTTTCAGACAATCATTCCCATACATTGTGTTTTATAAAATTAATCACCATTGGACTATGCCCACCATTACCCTGTCTTTTCAGGTCCCCACCAGATCTTTCCCATTTCCTTTACCTCCTGCCTCTACCCACCAAATTGTGCAACCCTGTGATTTCACTCCCATCCATCCTCACCCCTCTGCACCCAACCTTTCCCCCTTTGGGTCCCCGTATACACGTTTTACCAGTTACTCTTCTATTTTTAAGATAATAAAAGACCCCTTTCTTGTTATCTGCTGGCGATCTGGAGCACTTTAGGGCTGTAACAGGGGTCGAGGGGTAGTGGGGCTGCTGGGCAGACAAGACAAGGTCTAATAGCTACAGAAGGAACAGAGAAGAACACACACTGACCACCAGGGGGCAACGCTGAGCAGCAGCCAGGGAAAATCAGCCCCGCCTGCGGCGCCGGCGAGGATACACAGGCCTGCGGTACTTGGGCCTGGACACTTGGCGTTGGATCCAGGGCTGGTAGGCGGGCACCCGTGCGTAGACTCCTGGAAGATTGGGCTCCGCACAGCCCCGGCTGAAGCTCACCACGGCTACCTGCATCCACCTGCCCTGCCTGAACTGACAGACCAGGGGGCCTCCAGAGTCACCCTACAGGACACAAGCATCAGAAAGAGCTGGTCAGCTCTGAGATGCAGGAACCCGAGTGGAGGTTGAGGTGGGGGTCAGGCAGGCAGCGGAGTCTGTGGACTCGCAGGTTTCATGCCCTCTGAGCTATGCCCCAGATCCGGGCTGTAGGCTATGCCCTCCCTCTCTCCCTTGCTCCCTCCCTCTCTCCCTTGCTCCCTCCCTCCCAGCAGGTTCATTTGCCTCATTTCTGCTTTCAACAGTTGAAGATTCTGAGGCTCAGAGAAGTCAGGTAACTATCTGAAAGTCACACAATAGGGGTGACTTGAAAGCTCTGGTGGCCTCATGGCAAGAAGCTGCATTGCAATCAATCCCAAAGGCACCTACTTCCGGAAACTCTATGGACTTTTTTCTGGTCGTCCATGGTATATTCAACACTTTTCTCCAGCACCACAGCTCAAAGGCATCAATTCTCTTTCTATCTAGTGAATGCCACTCCTGCTTCAGAGAGCCTGCAGGCCTTTTGTTCATAGGGTCTCTATGAGTCATACTCAACTCAAAGGCATTCAATAACAACAACCAGGAGAATTAACAGTTTGTCCTAGAGAAGGTAAAACTAGGCTGCTCCTTGGAGGTAAGGATTCTGAAGCTTCATCTGATATACTTTGGACATATTACAAAGAAGGACCAGTGCTTGGAGAGGGACATTATGCTTGGATGAGTGGAGAAATAGAGAAAGAGAGGAAGACCATTGATGAGATGGATTGATTCAGTGACTGGGATAATGAGGGTAGGTGTGTCAGAGACAGTAAAGTTGGCACAGGATGGAGCAGCTTTCAGGGCTATTGTACATAGCGTCGCTCTGAGTCGCAAGTGACTAGGGGGCACATTACAAACAAAAGAACAAAAAAAGTGGTAAGGGGTAGTGCTGCCAACCCAAAGGGATGCAGTTCGAATCCATCAGCTGCTCCATGGGAGAAAGATGGTCAGTCTTTTGTGAGATTAACTGTTTCTGAAAACCTACTAGAGGAACAGCTATGGGTCAGTTCCAACTCAACGCTATACCCCCCCCCTTTATGGTTTTCTCTTTTGGTCACCCCAGGCCAATCATGGCACCGGGACCTTCAACACCCACACTGCAACTAGAGGGAAACTGAGGCTGGAGCACTGAGCAGCTGTTGGTGCCTTGGACACGCACTGACCTCACAGAAGCCCTTCCTGTCCTGGAAGTAGCCAGCACACAGCATCTCAGAGGTGATGGGCTCTGGCTCATAGAGTTGCTGGCAGCTCTGGGTGTCAATGACATGCACATCCACCTCCTGCAGCCTGTGTGGTTTGGGTAGGGCCACTGCGGAGGAGAGGTCAGGGAAACTGGGTAAGGGGTACACACTGAGCCAGTGTCCTAGGAGACAATAGGGGCAGTACATTCCCACCCATGGGGCCTCCCCAGGAGTCTTAGGTTAAAGGTAGGAGGAGAGGGGAAAAATAGAGTCAACCAACTCCTGTCCAGCATCAGCCCCCGTCCAGCCCGGTCCATCCGCCCAGCCTCAGCCACTCACTCCTTACCATTCTCCCTCACATCCCCCCAGCCGGCCACCCAACAGAGGGTGCCCGCAGGGATGTAGGCTCCAGGCAAGGCCAGAGGCACAGGCTGGATGGAGGAGGAGAACGACACACGGTGGGCCATCTTCAGCAGGGCGATGTCCTTGCCCTCGAGCGCGTCCCCACTGTAGGAGGGGTGCCTGACCACTTGTGTGATGGGCACCAGGATGGAGCCTGGGGCATGAGCATACAGCACAGTCTCTCCCAGCTGTACCTTCAGGTTCTGAGGTCTCCCCGAGCTGAGGAGGAAGCAGGGGTGAGGGCCTGAGGATAGAAGGACCTGCTGGTTCAGTGCCAAGTGTAACCCCAGTTCTGGGCAGGAGGGGTGTCTCTCCAAGAAGGAACAGTACTGGCAGGGCAGAGTGGAGACGGGGCAGGACAGGCAGGCAATGCTGAGGTTGCTGACATGCTGAAGCTGACTGTGGGGACATGCTTACCTAGTTACACAGTGGGCAGCAGTCAGTACCCACTGGGAGCTGATGAGGCTGCCGCCACAGATATGCTGGCCATTTTCTCGGAGGCTGACCTGCCAGGGCCATTGCAGAGGTGAGGCTGCTGTCCCCCCAACAATGCGAGCCTCAGGAACAACGCTGGTCACTGTGGGGAGAGGTGGAACAACTCGGGGGGCTGACAGGCCAGCTCAGCAACACTACCCATTAAGTCCCTTATCTTTGAAAACCAGGACCACCGGGTGAAGGGCTCCACTCCCAAGCCTCTCTGAGCCCTGTAACCAGGGGTCAACATCTGAATGCTGCCTGAAGGGCTTTCAGCAAGATAGATGTGGGGTCACTGCATTCTCAATGTGGTAGCCACTGGTTACAGGTGGTGCCTGAGGGTTTGCAAGTGGCTAGTTGGCCTGTGAGGGGCATTTCTGTCTTTAAATCATTTCAGTGTTCCGGTCACTTTAAGGTTGAGGTGACCTCGGTACTTCCGGGTCTAGGCAGGTGGATGACACACCCATAGAGCCTGGCATAGAGAGGGTGTCGGGAATCTCAGTTTTGGGGTTTGGTCATGATGCCCTTGTGATGGGCACCCAGAGTCAGAGTCTTCCAGGGAAAGGGCTTTGAAAGTCACAGAAAGACATACAGGTGTGGCAGACTCACACAAAAGCCCACCACACATGCGGCCCCAGCTTGAAGGACAAAGTGAAGACCATTGCCCCTTCTCACAGTGTCATAAGCCCCAAACCCACTGCCAAGAGTCCGTTCCAACTCATAGTGGCCACGTAGGACAGAGAAGAGCAGCTCTAAAGGTTTCTAAGCCTATGATCTTTACAGAAGCAGACTGCCTCATCCTTTGGTCACAGAGCAGCTGGTGAGCCACCAGGGCTGGGGGCGGGTGGGCATCTGGAATTGAAAGGGATGTGGTGACTCCTGCAACCCTATGGCTACCTCCAGGGTGGATGTGGTGTCTTCCTGGTGTCGTGCATGGTGTCCAGCTAGACATCTTGGTCAGACTTACCTTTTTCTCCCAGAAAAGGAAGTACCAGGAGTGCCAGCAGGAGCCACATCTGGGGGACACAGCTGCACGAGAGGAGGCGTGGGTTGGGCAGCAGGATGGTGGCTTCCTGGAGCCTCGGTCACCCGTTGCCCCTGGAGCTGTTTCCCAAGGCTTCTGGCTGCAGTACCCGGTTGATAGAGGAGGCAGCAGCTTGGTGGTGACCCCACATAGCAGCTCAGAGTTGAGGGGAGTCAACGCTGTCTCCTTCACCATAGAAGATCCCCCCAATCCCAGGCACACAGGGCCCCCAAGCACATGGGTGCAGGCTTCCCCTCCAGCCCCACTCTGTACTGGGGAGATACCTGAGGTGGCAGGGGAAGGAGCAGGGATTGAACATGGGGGACTTGGGTTCTTCCTGCGCCAATACTGACAGCTGGTTCTGGTCTGACTGTCCTGACAGTTGTCCCTGCAGGCCCACAGTCACAGTGGCTCTTCCCCTCCACCCCCTCCCTGCCCCCTAGGCCCTGGAAGTGAGGAGCCAGAAAAAAGGGGGATTTCTGAGGTGGGACAGATGCCTTGGAGGGGCTAAAGATGGGAGTCAAGCAGACAGTTGGTTTTGGGAGCTCAGGGAAGCTGTGTCATCTGTCTCAAGACAGCCTCTGAATTGCTTCTTGGGGGTTTCTGATGGGCTGACACTGACCCCTCCTCACTGCTCTGCCCCCACCCCCTGAAGATGGGAAAGGTCAGCCTCCTCCCTGGCAGCTGGGCACTGGTCCTGCCCTGGCTCTGGGCCTGGCCCTCCCTTCTCTCCACCCCACGCTCAGTGTGTTCCAGGCCTGGGCCACTCCAGGCAAGGAGGGGCGCTTGCCTGGGTCCAAGTATACTCCCCTCCAGACCTGGGCCTTCCCTTTTTTCCATCTGTATCTTGAGTCCCTGGAACCCCAACCCTGGCCTCCCCCGTAAAGGTTTCCTGGCCTTTCAGGGGCAGTCTGTTCTGCTGGCTTTCAGGGTGTTGCATAAACCAGCAGGCTCTGAACTGGACCATAAGCCAGCATCCCAGCCAGCTGTCTGGCTGGTGAATTGCTGGCGGGGTGCCTGAGAGGTTCGAAGGAGGAAGGAGGACGGAGTTTAAGGCCCCATTGGCCTCTTGTTGACTCTGGCTTGGTCTTAAAAGGCAAGTGAGGCATCATCCACTGGAGGTCCTGCCCTCCCTGCTCTGCCAGGGTGATCATGTACACCCTAAGACAGGGAGATGAGGACTGTGGGTGAAGGGTGGCACTGGGGTCTCCTGGCCTGACCCCCCCAGAGCTCCCACTCAATCAAGCACCAACCTTTAGGGAATTATAGACACCACGGGAGCCCAGTGTCCTCATCTGAAAAATGGGATTAAGTGACGTGACTGAGAAGAAGCGGGGACTGGCATTTACGCAGTCACTGATGCACATGCTCCCTCACCCCCCAACAGCTTTGTTTCTAACAATCAAAGAACAGAAACAGGCTCACATCCTTTCAACAATGGCCTTGAACCACTCGCCTTGAAACACCCACCTTGAGTGGGATCCACCCTGATGCACAACATCCCCCAGGAGACCTGTGCTCCATGGGGTTTCTGACAGCTGGTGTTTTAGGAGGATCACTCCAGACTTGAACTTTCAACCTTTGGGTTACCCTGGAAGGCATAACCAATGACTCCCTCCAGGAATAGCAAACCAACAGCCATCGTACCACCTCTGATTTTTAGCAACCCTGTGTGTGTCAGAGCAGAACTATGCCCCTCACGGTTTCTAAGCCCTAGTTGTTCAGAAGCAGATTGCCAGTACACTCTCCCACAGGCCCTCTGGTGGACTCAAACCTGAAATCTTTCTATTAGCAGCCAAGCATGCTACCTCTCTGAGCCATCTTGGGCTCCCCTGGGGATGGGCTACACATCAGAGAAAAAGGAGGGAAGGTTGACACTGAAGTGACCTGGTGGCACTATAGATTAAGCACTGTGCTTCTAACTTAATGGTCAGTGGTTTGAATCGACAAGCTGACCCTTGCAAGAATGATGAGGCACTCAGAAACCCGGCGGCAGTTGTCTGACCTTCAGGGTCATTAAATCAATGTGTGGCAGTGGGGAGGCATCACAAGCACAAGCCCTGGTTGCACAGGATTCAAAGCAATTAACTATTCACCTGAAGGTTGGTAGTTTGAAAACACCACTTGCTACAAGGAAGAAAGAAGAGGCAGTCTGGAGCCACAAAGACTCACAGCCTTGACACCCTGTGGTGCAGTTCCCCTTGGTCCCATAGTGATGGCATGAGTCAGAACTGACCAGAGGGAAGTGGAGCTGGGTTTGTGCCATAAGACCTGGATGACTGTCCAGGGGATTAGCCACAGGGAGAGAAGCCAACTCTGAAAGGTCACGTAGTGTGTGGGACCATTGATCCCACATTCTTAAAATGGCAAAATGACAGAAGTAGGGTGCAGAAACTGGAGCATCTTCAAAGATATGAACATGTAAGGCCAGGGTGAAAGAAGGGAGAAGGGGGTGTGGCTTTACAAGGCAAATTTGAGGCTCATGGGGTGATAGGTCTGTGTTTCCCCTGTCGTGTGGTCCCAGTATTAGTCTTAATTGCTGTGGTGTTGATCACAGTTCACAGAGACTCATGTCTGTCAGAGAAGAACGGGTTTCACCAGATTTTCTTTTCTATCTTTTTAAAAAGTTTAATTTGGGCTTATTGGAGTGGTTTGTGTTGGAGAAGGAACCTTGGTGGCACTGTGGTTAAGGCATTTGGCTGCTACCCAAAAGCCCACGAGTCACTCCGTGGGAGGAAGATGAGGCAGTCAGCTCCCATATTTACACACTTGAAAATGCTCTTGGGCAGTTCTGTTCTGTCCAACAGGGTTGTGATAAGCTGGAATCCATTCAAGGGCTGTGGATTTGATTTTCAGTCCCAAGAGACAAAGGGTGGGGACTAAGGCCAAATTTGGTCCACAGAAGTGAATTTGTTTTGAGGTGAAGACTGGTGAAATGTTTAGATTTTCTTGTGAAAATAAGATTCTACTCACATATATCGGGAGGAATGGAGAGAGGAATGAAGGAAGAAAGCAAATGATAAATATACACATAAGCACCCCCCTTCATCCCATTTGGATTAATAAAAAGTTATTTATACTGTAATTAAGCTGTTGTTTAATAATATTACTCTTAAAACCTACACTTTTAAAAAATTTTATTTTATTAATTTTAATGAACATTTACAGAGATTTTGGATTTCCATTCATTCATTGTTCCACTATTTTCTCTACCCCAGTTCATTCCTCTCCTTTTTTCCCCCCTTGAAAGTCTGTTTTAATTGTCCCATTGCCACAGTGCTTGTCGAAGTCAGTTCTGATTAATCTCCTTGGTCAGTGTGTTCTTTGCCATTCCCTATCACTCCTTCCTGAGAGAGACTTCACCCTGATTCATAAGGAAA